ATTATGATATATTATCATTATGTCAGTGGTCTAAAATGGTCTTACAATGGTGCCGACAATATTATCGTTTATCGCAATAATTTCCAGGAACATTTATCGTCCAACAAAATTATTTATCGTGACAGGCCTAAGCGGCGGGTTCCAGCAGGAAAAGCTGGAGGCCGGAAAAGAGTGAGACAGGTAGCGCGCAAAAGTAAAAATGGAACCGAGAGTGGTATGCCGCTGCTGCGGCTTATATTCGGGTGCGGCTTATAGTCCGAAAATTACGGTACTTGGCAAGATTTCGAGTTTTTGTAGTGGACTTTTCTTCAGCTCACTTTATGTATAAACTTTTCTCAATGTAAGTGTATTTGTTCCCCTCCCAGCATCTGCAGACTAGAGTGGAAGCCGCTCTTCTGGAAGTCTCTCTCTCACACACACTCCTACAGTCCCATTACGGTCGAGTCCGACTTCAACAACCCTCTTTATGAGGCAGGTGTAAGTATAAGGCTGATGCTTGACATGTTTTCTGGCCTTATCAACTTTGTTACTCACATTTGACTACATTCCAACTAAAATAGATTCTTAAATAATTGTTTTACTGATTGATTTCTTACTCCCACAGGACACGCGGGAGTATGAAGTATCAATTTAGAGGAGAAAACGTCTCGGTGAGAGTTGAACACCACAGGGAGATTCAATTATTTTGGACGAGAAATGTCTGAGGATTGTAAGGCCTCACTCCCCTTTTATCATTATTTTCTAACTTTTTTACATTTTACCATCACTGTATCTCTGGTTTATCAGTTTGTGGAAGTGCTTTATTCTTGATTTGTTGCACTGATGTGGTGATTTGCCAAATGTGGGTCCTACTTCACGGTCCAACTGTCTGTATCACTAGGACTGGTGCCTTATGAAGGGTAAGTAATGGATAACAAAGGGAACAAATAGCAATGTGGGAGGCATAGGTTAAGTGTAAAAGGGTGTTGTTGAAATGTATCTATTTATTAAGTTACATTATTATGAGGCCAAAACATCAGAGAACTTGGCAATACTTTATTTGTTACTATCAAAAGAGCATACACAGTGAATGTGAATGTTTTTCTTTCATTATAACAGTTGTACATTATACAAAGTGTTACAGTTAAAGGGAAAAATACTTTCATTTCAATCATGAGAAAAGTTTGATCAACTCAGTCATTTTCTCTCTGTGTAACACACACACACACACACACACACACACACACACACACACACACACACACTCAGAAAGTGAATGTAAATATTTGNACGGTAGATATTAGACAAATATACCGTAATTTTCGGACTATAAGCCGCGCGATTAGCCGCACCGTTATATAAACCGCAGCGTCGAAAAATAGGGGAAAAGGCGCGGCTTATAGTCCGAAAATTACGGTATATTTGTCTAATATCTACCGTAGTCAGAATATGTCTTTACACCTGATATAAAACACAGTAACGTCAGAAGTAACAATGCAGTGAGATATCGGGTCTTGTTTTTAGACAATGCATCATCTTGTTAAATCAAATAATCTTATTTCGAGTCGTATCTCAGATGAAACATATTTTTTTACATATTTATTGGAAGATCACCAACTTTTGAGCATTTGCGGCTTATATTGTAACACAACATTTCCTGATTCTGGTCAAAAATAGTTCAAAATAAGTTTTCCCAGCTAATTACAAGATCTGATTCATCTAGATATCCCTTCTTATTTCAAGAAATCTTACCAAGCACATTTTCACTTGTTCTATTGGCAGATTGTTTTACTTATTTCAAGTGAAAACAGCTTGTTTTCATTATTGTTTAACTTGTTTTTGGAGCAGCATTTTTTCCAGTGTAAAAGCGGTGTTACAAATTGATCAAGGAATAAATACAAGCTAGAGTACTTACTTCGTATAGTACATGTAAATTCCTCCAATCAGCAGGATGACCAGGATTATTGGCAGAATTATTGCCAAAGCGATGTTCTCACTCAGGATCTGATGGGACGGCTCGAAAGACTGGGACACTGTGGAATAGTCACCACAAAATAAAAAATGTTCACTAACCGTGGGGTGTTACTGCTCACAATGCACTATTGCTTTGGACAAGTTCATACGATATAAAACATTAAAAAGAGACTGCTAAATCTGAAGCAACTCTTAGTTTTGGAGCACCAATTAACACTCACACATCACTTTCATTTTCTAAATTGGGGAACTGCGATAGATGCTTCAGAGAAATATCGATTTTCTGATGTCCATTGTTATATAAAATGTTATTTAATGCTCTAAAGGTTTGATGTGTCATGTTGTGTGTTTGTGCGAGTGACAAACTGATTGAAAAATCGCAGCAAGAGGATTTGGTCGCTCATATAAGAGCCTAATTCTGCTAGTCAAAAATGACAAGATGATACACTATATTAATTTAAAGGAGAATTACACTGTCCCAGTGTACACAATACAAACAATGGTTACTTTACATAGCAGCCTCTATTATAATGTGGTTTTTAATAGCACGTGAGGGCGGCTAAATAAGGGATTTGTATTCTAAATGTAACAGCTTTAAGTATGATTAATAAAGAACACATAATAGGAGAAGACAAATCACCTTCTAATTTATGATCATCCAAAAGCTCCTCATATGCCACTGTGTGAGAGGAAGGAAAGAGAAAGAGAAGTCAAATACATTTTATAGGGAAGTCCTCAAGGATCTCATTAACACACAGTATTTGTATTCAGATCGATTCCGTCTTAAGAGGCAAGAGCATAAAGCATACTTTTGAACAAACCTTGAGCTTAAACATTGCCAAAGACAGCTAATATTAAAAACATAACCTCACTAATTCATATCTGGACCAGAGAATGAGAAGCATTGTTCAGTTCCTCGTCGGTTCCTCCAACAACCTCCAAACACAATCTCAACCTTTACCTTTGCAGAATGGCGGCGGGCTGTTCCACTGAGAGGGGTGGCCGGGTACGCAGCTGATAATGACCTCGCCGATGAGTTCGTATCCTTCATAACAGAAGAAACGCAGAGTCTCTCCAGCCTGGTAGTTGTGCTTGTACAAGGTTTGGTAACCATTGTCAGGGACGCCAGGGTTTGGGCAGGGGTCATATTTTACTGTTCAAGCACAAACAACAAACCATAGTCATGTTTTTGCAGTTATTTAGCAGCTATAAGCGTCATAAACATAAGAAGTAAAGAAAAGGGACTCACAGACACACTTGGGGCTGCGGTCGCTCCACTTGGGGGTACCGGTGTCTCGTCCGTGGCAGGAGATCTGGCTTGGACCCTCCAGCTGGTAACCCTGGTTACAAGAGAAACGAACGACTGTCCCCACTGCGAAACCTGCCTCGGGTCGCACTGAGCGCGCTCCGTTTACCACCTCTCCTGGGTCGGGACACTGCTGGACTGTGGGGGACAGAGTGGGACATTTAGTTATATGTAACGGACAGAGGAGCATAGCAACATGGGAGATGAATGCATTGAATGATTTCTACCAAAGTGAGAAACCTGGATGTGTTATGACAAATAGAAAAACTGAAACCACCACAGCAAACTGTTCACTCTATCTATTCACCTAATCTTACAGATACCAGAGTTAGCCAAGAGGATATTTTTTCATCTGTAGTCCCTGGAGAGATTTTAAAAGTGTAACCATAGTCACGTATTCTATGGACAAAGCCATTTACTCCATTGAAGAAAAAACATTCTGAACCCAAAATGTTTCAGCACCATGGACAGCCTGATTTGATTTGTTCCGCTAATCACACACAGTGATTACTCAGATATTTAAATAGCCTAATTCAAGAATGTTTTTCAATAAATTGTTTTCAATAAATTGGTTAATAATTTATTATTTATTATAATTATATAGTAGGTAGTAGGAGTGTTTGATCGGCTATCGTTACCATGGGAACTACTTTCTAGGAACTACTGTTTGGGAGCAAATTAGCCGTCATTATGAAATTATTTTACGATATTGTTGATTACAATGATAGTTTGTGTAATAGAATCGCAATCATACACTTGAGGCCGTTCTAGAACATCATTATTGGTACGCCTATACTGGAGAGGACGTTCAAGAACGGCCTCTCGTGTATGACTGCTTAATTCTTTAAGTCGGGGGTGTCAAACTCAAATACACAGTGGGCCAAAATAAGAAAAATGGTTACTAGTCGAGGGCCGGACTGGTTCAATGTTTATTGTAACACGTATTGAAATGAACTTATTGCACAGATTAAACCTGGAACTAACAAAGCTTAAATTATTGCCTATAAAAACAACATCAAACATTAAATAATCAGTTGCATTCATTTCTTATGGCTCTATCCGCAGCTTTTCCACAGGCCAACAACAGCTTCAACAAAACAATTTCCCTCAAAGAAAAANGCCTTTGCAGACCATTTACATGCACTAAAATCTATATAACACACTAGAGGAAAGGGGAAACCCCAAGAAGCACAAAAGGGGCCTCGTTAAATCAAGTAGCCCAGAAACAAAAGACATCTGTTTTCATTTACTTATTGAAAACACAACCGTGTTCTGAATCTTACCTTTGCACACAGGCTCGCTGTCATTCCAGTGGGGATTGCTGGGGTCGACACACTCAATGGTCCCTGAACCTTGCTCCATCACAAAGCCTGGAGAGCAGGTGAAGGCAACAGTGGTGCCCAGCTGATATGTGATGTCACTGCTG